TAAGTCACCAATGGCAGGACCAAGTGGATCTTACTTTAATAATGGTGACAGGAGACCATATGCTACAACAGTTGTGATCCAATTCATCTTTAAACACTCTGTAGGAATTAAATATGGTAGTGTTGGGGTAAACTCCCTCTTTGTTCATGAGTTTTTGCCCCCAGAAGTTAATACCCCATAGTCTCCAGCTCTACACCTTCCCCCAAAGCTATTATTATAGAACTGTTCACAGATCCTTCTGCATGAAGTTAACAAGCTTGATATAGTTTCATTGCTGCCTCCAGGTTCTGCCTATAAACTGGAAGCAATTATCCTGGTTGGTCTCAGGCTGCTGCTGGAGTCCTGCAACCACTCTGCCAAGCTTTGGCTGTTGGGATAGATACATTTCCACTATGTAGAAGTGAAGGTAAGGGGAACTTAGATTGCAAGTTTGCATCCCTCATCTCACCAAACAGGTAGGGAGAGTGTGTTGGTCCAGCCGTTAACTTGCTACAAAGTTGCCAGGAGACAGGAACTTGCTTCTTGCATTGGTGTGATGCATCATGCAAGTTTGTGCAGCACATTACTGTACACAAGGCCAGATACCATCCGTCCCTGCTGATGTGAAAGTAATTAGTGTCTTTGTGTGGCAATATTACATGTTCTAGCTTGCCTGCGGGGTTATATTTACTTCAAACATTGCTTTAGTCCACAGTATTGTTAGCCAATATCCAGCATAACAGTATTCAGGTGCTAATGAAAGTTAACACAGGGGTGGGCAAATACAGCCCATGTGGGTTCCTTAGTCCCACCTGGCCCAGGCACTGTCCAGCTGTGGCATGTCCTGCTGCCCCATGGCCATACAGCTGGGCCAGGGCAGCTAGGCAGCCCAGGTGGTGGCAGAGGCTTCTTCTGGCTGCCACCACTGCTGGCCCCAGCCCTGAGGTACTGGGACAGGGGACCCACATGCACAGCTCTGACCCCATGCCTGCTCCAGGCTTGCCTGCCCAGGCTCAGCAGCAGCAGGGAGGACAGTGCTGCTGCTCAGCATGGGATACAAGTGGCCCCTGCCCCTCACCGCTGGCAGTGGTTCCTGGTGTAGTCTCCAGGAGCCCACACTGCCCTCCACAGCTCACCAGAACTCATTAAGCAGCCCTCCACCCAAAATAATTGCCTGCCCCTGTGTTAACACCATCACCTCTATGCACACTGATCTTATATCAGCTTTGCATTTACTACAGGTAATTTCCCTGCATGCAGTTTCCAGTACTCTGGAGTCAAAGATGCATTTAATACAACTGATAGCCTTCTCTTTCAGCGAGTCACAAGGAGGAAACCAAAAACCACCAAGTATAAAACGTGCATGGCAAGACAATTTCTGTACTGGATCAGAACCCAATCATGCTCTTTCCAAGCAGAGTGCCTGAATAGGGCCTATCGCTAGCTCCAGCTACACACAGCCCTGGGGTCCTGAGCTAGCTCCCGTGCCATCTGGGACTCCGCTGTTATCATTTTGAGACCCCAGTACGGGGTTGGGACTGACAATCAGCTGATTGTTAGCTTCACACAGGCAGTCCCGGGTCCAATTCACCATGGCTTTCCAAGCAAACAATCAGTTGATTGTCAAAGCCTTGTGCCCAGCAGCTCTGGCTGGGCTGCCAGGTGCAGGGGAAGAGAGGCTCCTGGCAGGGAGAAGCTTCCTTGCTGGATACTCTAAACCTGCAGGAAAGCCTTTCATCACCTCCCACCCCACCCTCCAGCCAGGGCAGACAATCATCTGATTGTCCATCTCAGAGCCGATTCCAGACCCATGTGAGGTCCCAGCCCCTGGGACTAAACCAAATTTTGTCAGCTCCAACCACACATTAAGCTTAAGGTGCCACAGAAGCCAGCCATAAAAATTCTTCTACACTTTGTGTAATATTTTCAATGCTTGTTTCCCCATTTTATGGGACCTTAAATTATGTGCACAAGTAGCACCCTTCCCATTTATGCCATGATTACCAAATTAATTGCAGCATAAAATGTAACATGCAAAGAGGTCCTAGAGACTCTCTGCATCTCAAACAAGCCCAAATTTACCAGTTTAGAGTTGAATATTAATGCTGATGTTCCAAACGATGCAGTGTTCAAATCGTATGCATTGCAGATGTCAAGGTACCCAGATTTGTGAGCCAACATTCCTACTGGTTAGGGGAGTGGGGGTGCGCAGAGGGAGGTCATGTTTCAGCAAATATGAACCAAATCATTTCCATTCTAGGAGCTCCATATTACTGTCAAAAACAGAATTATTCTGAATTAGCTTTGTTACTGCCTAAGAGGGGTTGAACAAAGTCATGAACACAACTGCTAGATGAAGTAAGGAGAAGATTATCAAGTCAGCCATAGACGTAATTCTTTGATAGAGGCAAGTGGGATCCTAGATAAGATTGTTGTTGTTCCATGTCACCTGATGCACTGGTGAACAGCCCTGGAGAATACAAAGTACTTAAAAACACATTCATGAGCATATAGATTAAGACGGCAAGGTCTTAAGCACATCTGAGGTCAGGGCCAAGTTTTCAAGTGTTCCATCAAGAGGAGGATGATTTGGATCACTTGGCTCTCTCAACCTACAGACATCTGATAGACAAGTAGGACAACAGCTTAGTTTTCAAGTCAAAATACTCAGATGACCTGAACAGGTCAGGGCAGGAAAAAATGCAATCTATAGTTTTGTTACTGGGTATTACAGAATCATTTGATTTCAAAGAGGTGAAGTTTCCAGGGCTCTGTTACAGCCTTCCACAATTTTGGCTTTGTTGTTAGTGATGGTTAAGTTCGCAAGTCAATCTTTGATACAGGCAGACAAGGTTCCTTGGGTGAATTTGATATCTTTTATTAGACCAACCCAAATGGTTGGAGATTAGTTATTAAGCAAGCTTTCAGGTTCAATCTTTGATACATGCATTTTATACCATCGTTTAAAATAACTTTAAAAACTTGCATGATATTACGACTCTTTATTTAAGAAAACTAATGCTTTTTTGGGCGGGGGGGTGGAAAAGAGAGAGCAGAAGAGGGACAGGATCTAAATGAGTAAAAGGATATTAAATACTGCTGTTGTGGGGCAAGCCTACAAAACACAACATAGAAGTAGGATACCTGAAACTATATCAAAGCCCCCCCCCCCCCCCCCCCAACTAGCAGGTCTTTCAGAATTAATAAATACTTCCTTGGACTGACAGAGTTGCGTATTAGTCCAAAGCAGTGATCCTAGTTTTCTGATAAGGAAGTCATCCACTTAGAAGTATTACCCTAAGTACTCTACTTGTGTAAGCAGAATAAGAACATGTTACCCTAAAGGTTCCCCTTAGTTTACTCTGTAATGTCCACAATTTGACATTGCTACTGACTACTAACCAGAATATTATTAAAGACCCTACAGAAAAAGAGCAACTTTAACCTTTGTTCAATCAATATCAGCGCATGGGTCTCCAAACACTCCTAAAAGTTATTTTTGCTTTGCTTGTTGGTTAAGAGCATTACAAGTTGGTGCCAAAGTAAAGTTCTGTGTACGGATTTATCTTTATCATTACATTATATTACTACAGCATCCAGAACTTCCACTTCTTGTCCAGTGCTTAGCTTACAGACAGCAAAGTCTCCAGCCCAAAGAGCTTACAATTTAAGGAAGATTTACATGCACTGCAAATACATGGAAACAGCAAGATGCTACTGGCTAAAGTCATTTCCAACCCACCAAGACCAATTACCATCCCCACCTCCCAAAATGAACCTGAGCATAGGAGAGCTGATATGTTGAGAAAAGCAATGCTGCTCTGCCAATGTTTTCATGGAGAGCCTCCCAGCCTGAGAAGAGGTGCTTACTTGATACTGGCCAGCAGGCAATAGAGGCAGGAATTAACCTTTTGATACCACCGAGAGATGGAAAAAGAGGAAAACTGAGTGCCCTTAAAAGCAAAAAGCTTAAGTTTGACACCAAAAATGAATACCATAATCAAGGCTATACCAGGGATGTCTGCAGCAGCCCGGAAAGACTTAGTGATTTAGTCGATCAGCAAACAGTGAAAGGGACAGCACTTTAACAGACGGACCTGTGAGGCCCCGTCCCAAAATTCGGTTAACTGGCTGCCCCGGCCTCCCCTGTCGCACCCTATGCTGCCCAGATTTCCATGACTTTCAATACTCCCTTCCACTCCCCTACACCCGTAAGCTTCGGTCCAACAACTGCCGAAGGATAGCGCCGTCGGTGCCTTTCAGAGGATACAGTGCGCCGGAGCACACTTTGCATCCAGTTCCTCGAATTAACAACAACTTTGCCAGCAAAACATCTATCAGCTCAAGACCAGATGACTGCCAACACCCGCAGCCAGCCAGCGAGCCAATCTGCCAGCCACATCTTTCACATTCAAAAAACCTACAGGCAACGGAGCAAAAAAATGAGGCAGATGGAGGGAAAGCCACCCGAACGGGGCAAAGCAGGTCCATACGCCTCGCCTTTTAGGGGGGCACCCTAAAGAGGACAAGAGTCGTGTGCCATGCCATCGCCATCCCTTG